TGATCCTTCTGCCTTTGGCCCTCAAGCGCTGGGATTACAAGTGTGTGCCACCACACCTGGCTGTTCTATATAGCATCTTATCGCTCCTTAAAGAGTGAATATATAATTTTTAAAATTAAACACTGGCTCAGAAATAAGGACATTTATTGTAACCAACTCTTTGTTCTACAAATAAATTACAAATCCCCTTATTTTCTAAAAATGAAAAAAGTGTGATTTAATAAGTGCATTTATAATAAATACCTAAATATTTTTAGCATGTTAGTATTTTAAATTTATTTAAATACTCCAAAGAACATCAAAAAATGCATAACAGTATTATAGAAAAACATGACAGCAAGCAAACTATTCATACATATGAAAAGATGAGACACGTGCACACAATTTACAGCTATTTTTGATGCTCAAAGTTAATATAACACATATAAACAGGTTGTTTGTATGCCAGAAAAGCCTGTCAATTCGATCTAGTAAATTCTGAATAATCCTGCCATCCTTTTAAATCATAATTCACTAACTAAATTGTATTTCAAAGAAGGCTCAGGATCACTTCATTACATTTGGTATTAAAGTTGTCTTTGCACATATTTACCCATAATGCTTTTTAAAATAACTGATTAAATGTATTAGGGAATTTTTAGGTTTTTTTAAGGATAGTAATATAATTATTCTTAAGCCTAGCTTTTTACCTTAACACTTCTCAAAAATCAAATGCATCATTTTATGGGAACTCCTCTTCAGTGCACGCATGAAAATAGGATTGTTTACATTTTACTGAAACCAGAAGCACATCATTTTCTAGAACTAGAAAACTGAATAATCATTACCAAAATAAATTCATTTTATCAGTACATTAGAATACTTCAGGAGACACTTCAGAATGATTCCTGGTGAAAACCACACAATTCAATAGCATCTACAACTTAACCAAAGAAGTCTAGTCTAGCTCTAATTCTATTCAATTTTGAAACTACAAAACCAGCCATCTGTGCTTATATCAGCGTTTGCTTTTCATCATAGGGGTATCAATAGGGCTATAAAGGAAGAGCAATAGATGGCCAAATAGGAGTATCTGTTGATCTTTTCATTGAGAAGCACTAATGCAAAGATCAAAAGTTTCAGTTTAGAAATATTTCAACACACACACACACACAGAGCATTTAAGCAGTTTTGACTCATAATGTACGAAAACATTTGAAAAGCTATTGTTCTTCCAGTGTAACATTTTACATGGTTGAAACAGTACCACAAAAACCTCACCAAAAAACACCTGACAACTGTTTTCAAAGTGACACACAGAATCCTCACATAAAAATTTGCAATTAGGGTAGTACATCTGATATACATACTTATTGTGTCTTACAGTTGCAAAGGCAATAATAGTACATGACTTACACCAATGACCTCCTTGTTTTCTCTGTATTTTACTCCATACCTAGTGGACTATTCAGTTATGTATATATGAAAATTTGTTCTTCTGGAGAAATGGACCTGACTTTGCATTCAAATCTTTGATACAGTAGTATCATCCAAGTTTATGCTAAATACTGTACTACCAACAAAAAAGATAATTCTCTATTTTTCAACTAAAAATTAAGCAGCTTCTGATGCTATTATGACTTTTCAGTAAGAGTATACTCGTTGACTGGATGCAACAGTCCTTTGTGATTTAGATTATCTACAAAAAAGTTTCCCACTGGGTAGGGTCATCACTCTAACTCAGTTGAGTAGATTAATTACAGACTATGATATAAATTCATCACTCATTTTGAATTTCTTCACCATTGTTTTTCCTGCTGGTATATTATATATGTTCATAATCTTTATTGAAAAAATCAAACGTTGGCTTGCAAACAAAGCTGTAATTATTGCCAATTCTTTTAAGTCACTCAAATTACAAATTCTGTATTAAAAACTAATTACTTCAGCTTGTCTTTTCCTCCCCTAAAATTAGTGTACTACCTTTGGTTATTTATACCCTGTGGCCACCTCCTTTCCATCTATTTTGTCCCAATAATAATTCTCTATGTGACTCAAAGGTTGCATAATGTGTACAAACAGGAAGGAATAGGTAATTCTCTTTTCCTAAATATCATTTTGGTTCCCTTTTTCCTCTATCAATATTGTATTAAACAAGATTACTTAAAAATATGTAAAATGTTAAAAATAGAATTCACTTTTCATTCTAAAGTTAATTTGCAGGGGCTGGGCATTTAGCTCAGCAGCAAAAGCGCCTGCCTGGCAAGCGCAAGGTCATGAGTTCGGTTCCCGGTACCGGACAAAAAACAAAAAACAAACAAACAAACAAAAAACCCAAAATAAAGTTAATTTGCAATTAATTTTCAGACAGTGATGTAGTTCAAAAAAGAATTAACTCAGAAAACAAATATTTCTATCTAGAAAAAAAGGAAGCTTATAAAATCAAATTACATAAACTTCCATAATGCAAGTTGTTACCTGACATAAGGCGAAAAACTACTGGGTGATCTGTTCCTTTCAAATATGAACAGATTTTAGTATTATAAGCAGCGATCAAAATTACTGGGACATTATTATTTGTATTCTCTTGACTGAGTCAGGAATTCTATTCTCTGCCCCTCTCCCTCTTTGTTTCAGTTCATATTGTTTTGAAATTTTAAACTGTTCCTTTCATTCTTTCAAAAGAATCACTAGTTTTGAAGTTACTTTATACTGGGGCTAATAACAAGTAACCACTTATTGCCAACTAGTGGGTATCTGTAACATACTAATTTTTTTACTTAATTCTTACAAAGACACAGGAAAAGGAGCAATAACTCCCTCTTTAAGATGATGAAATGAAGGCTCAAGGAAAGCAAGTGATCAGTACACAACAAGCAAAGGATCCCAACAGAAAATAAAACAAGCAAGGATTGAATCTATTGTTGTCTTACTCCAAAGCCCATGTACCTTTTACTCTACCCACTTTTCACATAAAAAACCTTGTCTGTCTAGCTGACAGTTGTGTCCAAGACTTGATAACTTTTCCAAAGGCACTAAGGCTATCAAACTACACCTCTTAGTTGCTTTGTTATAATTTAATCTTTTTCAAGGTTCTTTAATCAGTGTGTGTGTGTGTGTGTGTGTGTGTGTGTGTGTGTGTTTTACTGAGATTAAACACAGTGCATCACACATTTTAGATAAACACTACATCCCCAGTCCGTTTTATTTTTTAAGACAGGGTCTTACTAAATTGCCTAGGCTGGCCTGGAACTTGCGATTCTCCTCCTTCAGCCTCCCAAGTAGTTAGGATTATAGATGTGCACAACTTTTAAAAAGATAGCATCTTCTCTGGTAAATTAAAAATTTCTAAAAGTGGCAAGAAACACTGAAACTGGCTACTTATATCAGACAGAATACAAGACACAAGTTTAACATAATTTCTTTCATTTATTGAACACTTACATCTGCTATTTTCAACTAAACTATTATTGAAGAGTCCTGTGTGATATTTAGGATTATCTATATAATACTGAGATACTGAGGAGTTCCTAAGGAGGAATATTAAATTAAACCTATTCCCTCAACTAATTTCTGTGTACAGGGAAAGTCTGTACTGATTTCCAGTTTTCCTGGTAATAATCAAACTAGTGTTAAAAAGAGCTGATTAAATCATCGTTAATGCCTTCCAGTTACATGGTCAAAGGCAAAGAGAAACATGAAATATTATGTCCTCTAGTTTCTGTAAACTCAGAAGAAGCAAAGATAAAGTGTAAAACGCCTCAGGTAGGTCCCAACCAGCTCCTTACCTTCTCTTCCAGCTCACTCTGAATAGCCCTACATACTTATCTTGTTTTTCTTTACAAATTCCTATTTCCCAGACATCCCTCTCTAATGCCTTTTTTGGTGGGATGGGATCTTTGAATATGAACTGCTATCATAAAAAACTTCACACACAAAGCATCCTAGTAGTTGACACGGCTGAGCAAGATTTAAACTAAAGGTACTATTTGGCTCATAACACTAACAAGTTACATGGAAAGAGGTTCACTCATCTGTGTCTCAGTTTCACTGCTGTCTCCTGGTTTAAGCCTTCTTGTATCCTTCCTTTGGACACAGTGGGACTGCAGAGGTGCTGTGTATTTTCCACATTCATCAGGAGCCTTACAATAGACCTTATTCCCTTAGAACTAATGTGTTAAGAGCATACACTGAACCTCAAAAGGAGACAGAATTCATTTTTCAATCAGCTGAAATTTTATCCCAGTTATCCCACTTCATTTTTTGTTTTGTTTTGGCAGTACAGGGGTTTGAACCCAGGATCCCACTCATGCTAGGTAAGTGCTCTACCACTGAGCTGTACCACAGCCCTTTTTATTTTGAGACAGTCTTGCTAAATTTCCTAGGCTGGCTTGGAATCTTATTGCCTCAGCCTCCTGAGTAGCTGGGATCACAGGCATACGGCACTGGTGGCAGGCCTGTTTCACTTTATTTCTTAAAAGTATAATCACCTCTAGTGTGTTGCTTAGAACTGTTTCCTCTCATTAAACCTGAGGGAATCTTGGAGAAAAGGGGGTTATTTAGGTTACTAAGAGTTTATTTAAATTTTGTAATGATTGCTTTCTAAATTCTGATACTTAAAACATCAGTAGGAGACTGAGTGACAGTTTGTGACTTAAAAACAAAGCAAAACAAAACCTATTAACCTATTCACTCACTACTTTCCAATTATAAAAGATCGATTTTATTCTCTTGCTTTTGTGAATATTAGAGGCAAAAACATTCTCCAAAGAAAGTATTCTTTAAAAAGTAAAACAAGTATCCTACAAAAAAATAAAGCCAATCATGTCAGTTATTTACTAACAGACTCTTTACAATAAAATATTAAATAGAAGTTATGAATGCTAAGCAGTCTTTTCAAAAAGAAGCCAATTTACGAAAAACAGTTATAACCCTGCATTTTCAGAATTATAATATTTGGCAGATTAAAACATGAAAACAAACAAGACTTTTTGATAGACTCTTAAATACATACTACTTACATGACACCTTGTAGAACTTTCTGGGGATCAGGGTCAAATAGCCTGTCAACATAGTGGCGACTGCTAGCTGTTACTTCCTAGAAAGTGGGGGAAAAATTATGACATCTGAAGCCATGCAAATCATAAATTCACAGCATCACCCACAACATCAAACAGCTATATAATCTAACTTAAGGAAGATGCATTAAGAGTTCTATAAAATAACTATTTGCCTTCTTACTATATGGGACATGTAAGCAAGTGATTTTTTTCTATCTCAAGTGTCAAAATAATCAAAAACTGTGATGTTCAGTCCAAAACGCTGAACATCAATAAAAAAAATTGAAACAAATAAGAAAGTCCACAGAATACTACCATTTTTTGGAAATGAAAATGGTAGAAGAATTTGAGAAACCAACACAATTATATTCTGCTCACTTAAAAGATTTATGGAGAAAAATATTAATTACATTTTTGTAGGGCTAGGGATTTAGCTCAGCGGCACAGTGCCTGCCTGGCAAGCACAAGGTCATGAGTTCGGTTCCCAGTATCGGAAAAAAAAAAAAAAAAAAAAACTTACATTTTTGTAAATCATTCTGGGAAAAGCTTGTGACAATATGAGAAAGAGTAATTTAGGAAAGAAAGAAAACATCCAGTGCTCAGTAAAAACAACTGGACAGTGGGACCTTTTTGTAAGCCCTGCAAGCTTTGTCAATTAAAAAAAAAAAAAACTGGGCATATGTGCTAAGAAACAAGCTAAGTTTCTTCATTAACTGCTGGATGTCACATATGCATGTGAAATAGACTGGAATGTCACTTCTGCTTAGTACACACTAAAGGAGAGAAAATCCGTCTTTCAGCCAAAGAAAAGGGTTAGTACTTCATGGTAGTCTAGGTGTAAGAGGAGTCATAATGACAGACAGGAGCTTCAGTGCTAGGAGGTAGATGTGAGCAACAGCTACATTAATGAAGTTTCACACTCTCTCAGAAGGAAAACAGTTGAGAATCAGGATGGTCTGCAGGTCCAACAGAACTGGGTAAGGCTGAACTGGGTAAAGGTAGAGGGTAAGGGACACTTACCTCCTTTTATTTGTATTATGAGTTTTACTCATAATACAATATATGCTATTTCTTGTACTATTTATTTTGGTAAGTAATGCTTTTTTGCATTTAATTTTTAGTACTTAACATTATTTAAAACAAAGATTTTATATCAGAGAACCAGAGGAAAAAAATTTTGTCCCGTCCTCACTCTGATGGAATGGGCTCATATACTGCCACCCATTAGCAATAAATTATTATAGGGAGGAAGAAATAACTTTTCAGTTTAGTCAGAGCCCGAATCAGTAAAAAGCTAATTCCCAAGACACAGCATCAGCTTAAACTTCTTTCTTCTTTCTTTTTTTTTTTTTCTGGTACTGGGAATCGAACTCACAACCTTGCGCTTGCCAGGTAGGCGCTGTGCCACTGAGCTAAATCCCCAGCCCCTTAAACTTCTAAGTCACCAGAAATAACTCTGAAGAACTGTACAGACCTGTTTCTTGATCTTAAGTTATCAAAAGGTGATGCATATTTTCATACTCTGAACTTCCTACCAAAACACTCTCATAGGCAACTAAAATACTCTATCGCTTTTAATATGAACTCCATTTACAAAGACCAAACAGTGGGAGGAAATAAGTGAAAATGATGAAAATTATTGTGCACATGGTGGGTGCCATCAAAGCATAAGCATCTAATGAGGTCTGTTTTCCTCAAAATAACAGAATCAGAGTTAGACTCTTAATAATTATCTGTCCCATTCTCTTGGTTTATAAATAAGGCTTCTTATGATCTTTATTCCCTACAGCTCAACATCTCTTATCTCCCAATATAGTTAAAACAACCAAAAAGTGATTTACTATATTTGGATTTAATACATATACCTTCAGATTCTGTGCATTTACCTAACATAGTCATGCTTTTGTCTATCTACCTAGAAAAAAATTTTTTTGTGCTACTGGGAATTGAATCCAGGGCCTTTACACTCGGCTACATCCTCAGTCCTTTTTTTATTTTTAGACACGGTCTAAGTTGCCCACGCTGGGCTCAAACTTGCCATCCTCTTGGCTCAGCCTCCCAGAGTACTGAAATTACATATATGCACCACATGCCTGGCTGGGACAATTTTTGTGTTGCACTGCTTTCCTCTGCAAATCAGGTCATTCTCCTCTCAACTCTCTTCTTTTCTCTTTTCTTTTAGAATGCAGTTCAGGAATGTAACAACTAAAGGCAGAAGCCAACTAGTACAGGTATTAAATAGGTTGGTCAGAGAAAGCACCTTTAACAAGGGTAACATCTGAATAAACAGCCAAAGATGAAGGAGCACGCCATGCAGATGTTTAGGCACAGAGCTTTCCAGGCAAAGCAAATAACAAATTCAGAGGCTCTGAAATGGGAACTCTCTCATAATTAAAGAACAAGGAGACCATTACAGCTACAGCAGAATGAGCAAAGAAGAACACAGGAGATGAAGTCAAAGAACAAGGTCCAGACAGTAAAGAGTTATGTTGTCCAGTTATGATAGCCACTAGCCTCAGATGGTTTTTTAGCAATTGAAATGTGGCTAGAATTGAATTTCATTTAGGTTAAAAAAAAAAAAAACTTTAATTTCATGTTTACTTTTGGTAGTACAGCTACTAGAAAACTTAAAATGACATACACAGCTCTGCATTATTTTCACACTAAACAGCACTGGTTAGAGGCTTGTTGGTCATTTTCAGGATTTGATTTTTAATCAGGTGTGGTGGCACACACCTGTCATCCCAGCACTTTGGTGGCTGGAGCAGGAGTACTGCTGAGAGTTCAGGTTAGCCTGAGCTTCAGAGTGAGTTCATAGCCAGCCCAAAATACAGTGAGACCCTGTCTAAAAAAAAAAAAAAAAAAAGAACAAACAAAAAGAGAGAAGAAAAGAGAGGAGAGAAGAGAAGAATTTTGATTTTTATAGCATGTGTTGGGAAGCCATCAGAGAGTTTTGGGGAAAAAAGTGACACAATCTGATGATTTGACTCATTACTAAAGGATCATTTCGGGTTCAACTTTCAGAATACACAAATGTGCAGGCAAAGGCAGAAATAGGAGCTACAAGAAATAGGAGACCAGGTAAGAGGCTGTTTAAGTCACCAGACTGTTACTACTGCAGACATGCAGAGATGATGGTAGCCTAGACTAGGGAGAACACCATGGAGGTAATAAGATTAATTCAGACTCCAGATAAATACAGAAGTCTGGAATGACAGCCAGATTGGAAAAGATGTCAGACAGGACATAGGGTATAAAAGAAGAGAGGAGCCAAGGGTAACACTAATGTTTTTGCCTGAGCACCTAAAAGGGTTGAGTTGCCAGTTAATTAGTAGAAGACTGTGGGAGGTGCAGATTTAAGTAGGGAGATCAGCAGTTCAACTTTGGACATGTTAGGATTAAGAATACTATTAAACACCCCAGCAATAATCCCAAGCTGGCAATGATATGTTAAATCTAGAGTTAGGAAAAAGTTGTGGGCTGGATATAACTCAGAAACTGTCAGCTTATAAACAGGATGAGTTTACTAAAGGAGTGACCCTGGATAGTGAAAGGCCTGAAGTATGCTTCAGCGCCAGTGTAGTGGGCAGAAATCAAGGAAGTCTTCAAGGGGGGAGTAATCAACTACGTCAAATTCTAGTATAAGATAATAACTAAGACTCAACCACTGGATTTAGGAACATAAGGACATCAATGATCTTGCCAACAGCAGTATTGCAGGGCTAAAGCTTGTCTGGAGGGAGTTTAAGACAGAATGGAAAAACAGGAAGTAGAAAAAATAAAATATAGACAATTCTTTCAAGGAATTTCATAGTAAAAGAGGGCTGCAGGGAAAGTACAGCCAAGAGAGGTTTTATTTTTTAAGATATAACAAGTTCGTACCTGTTTATACGTTGATGGAAATGCCTTAATGGAGAAGAAAAACTGATGCTACATGAGTAGAAAAATATCCAGAACAATGTTCAGGAATAACTGCAGGGAATGGGATTTGCTGATCAAGAACATGGAAAGTACAAACACTAGAAGAAATCAACTAAGTGGATATGCTAGTGAGAGCCTGTGAAGTTCTCTTCTGATTATGTCTGTCTTTTCTAAGAGTAAAAGTAAGAGAAGTTGAACAAAAAGGAATAATACACTGACAAGGCTCGGAAAATGCACCAATAATGCTAAGGAACACCAAAAATTCTCTTAAAGTTTGTAATTATGAATTAAAATGAGACCTTAAGTAGGACTACTTTTCTCCAGCTCCATTTAAATGCACAGAAGCAGGCATGAATAAGAGATCTGGATTTAACCAGAGTTAGAATTTAACCAAGCAAGGATGAAAATGCTAGAGGAAGAGGTTAAATGAATTGAGAGTACATGCAAGGGTGTGATTATAACGAGGCATCTAGTGAAAAAGTAGTAGAACAGACTGTAGGTAATGGAGGGGTTGAAGGACTACTGGCACTAGCGTAGGAGGAGTGATTTGAGAGAAGGTATTGGCCTGGATGCTTGAAGCTGAGATTACAAGATTATGAAGCTGAGTTATATTTTAGTCTTGGTATGGTCAAGATCTAGGAAATGACCATGGGAGAAAGTATTTCAAGGTAAGATGGAATACATGATTATGGAGAAGTTTAGAATGATAGAAAACTACTTATATAGATAATGAAGTTTCTATAAATCACCACTGAAGTAGTACTAGAAAGAACTGCCATGAATTAAAAGCTAAAATCCTAAAGAAATGAGGAAATGATCAAGGGGCCTATACATGACTATAACAAGGTATAACTAGTGAAATTCAAAGATGGGGTTTTTAGGGAGCAAGGAGGATCTCTACCCTACCCTTATCAGAGGGATATGTGGGCTATAAGAGGAAAAGGAGCCATTAGCTGAGAAAACAGGAGGAGAAAGCTTGGAAAAGAGTATCTTTAAACAGAAAGTCTAAATTCATCATAAACTAAAAGATGAAGGAAATGTTCAAAGAGGCTGAGTACAAGGGAAGACCAGCGAATGGAACAGAGAAAGGCAACAGATCTGACGAAAAAGGAGACAG